CCCCAAAACCCCAAAACCCCAAAACCCCTGGATGGATTTTAAGGGTTTAGATAGTGATTTTGAATATTAGGATATGTGATGGATTTTTGAGAGGGGGTTATGAAAAGCCTGAGTTTAGCTTGTCACCCATAGAAGCTGCATATTTGGGAGAAAGGAAACTTGCATGCATATTTTTGTACTTATGATTCTCAGGAAACTATATTTACCCTCATAACTTACAGCTTGTATCGGCTCATACTTAACCTCAATCGCTACAAATCATCACTAAAATTTACACTCAAGTGCTCTTAACCTACAAAATTACGCCACAACTCACCCTGCGCCTAACTCTATAGAGTTCCTTCCACTAGGCCTCCTTCTGACATTGACCTTTATCCTAAACAATCACTCCTACCAATTACGCTTCTAATTTCCTCGGTTCTCTCGCTTCATTTCTCTACACAAAAACCCATTACTACAAAAAGCACCAAAAATCTGGCAAAAATCGTTAACCCCTATAAAGGATTTTCAGTGGAGGAATACACACTTTTGACTTATAGCTGCTGTTCGTCCAGAAGGATCGCTCAGAAGGCTTGGAGTAGGGGCTATAGGGGATTAGAGAGCAGATAAGGCAGAAGAGAGGGATTGGGGGATTTTAGAGAGCAGAGAGAAGGACTCTTTGGAAAGCTTCAGGGAAATTTGGTCAGCAGAAATGTAGAAAGTAGTATGCTGGGGTAATTTAGCTGAGCTTATATGATAAGATAGATACCTCTTTGGGTTTTGAGATGTTCTGTGGGGTTCAAGGTTTAGCTGAGTTTGAGGCTTTTGGATATCATCCTCAAACCTCACTTTCGCCTTGGGACTATCAGTGGGCTTTGTGAGAATGAACTCCTTGTGCTCTTTATGTAAATCTGTTCGAGATTATTTAGATATTACTTTTCAATGGTAAAGGATTTTCAAGTTTCGAAATTCTTGCTTCAATCGACTCAATTTTTGTGTTTATCTTATCTTCAATAGTTGCATGGTGAATTTTGAATTTATTCTAAAAATCGCACTCTTAAATACTGTGAACTCATTTTTAATAGCTTGGAGCTTGATAGATTTCTTATTTAAAGCTAGTCTTCCTTTTCTTCAAGGGTAGAACCTTTGTTGCTTTCTCTACCTCTGTCTCGAGCTGGTTTATTTCCTTATCTAAACTTTCGAAGTCTTTGCCAAATCCCTCTTCTAGATTCTCTTGATTGTACTGGATTGATTTCTCAGCAGTGGCTCTGTCTGCTAATTCTTGAATTCTCTAGTGGTTATTTGAAAATTTTACAGCTTCCATCTGATCCTTCCATTGGTGGAGATTGGAGTCTTTTTGGGATTTTTGTTGAATCTCAGCCATCTGATTGGTGAGGGTTTGGATGCTATTCTGGAAGGGTTCGAGTTTGGATTTTAGAACAGACTATATTCAGCCTAAACCCCCACTTCTCTAGTCACTTACCTCTACTCTTCAAGCCAATTCCCGATCCGCCAATCCAGCTTCATGCTTAGCCTCAGCTGCCCTAGCAGCCTGGGCTGCCTGCGCAGCTGAGATCTGGGAAGCCATATTGTAGATTTTAGAAGAGAGCTGTTCAGATTGGGTTTCGTAATAGGCTTTGAAGCCTTTCAGGTCCTCTAGAGATGAACTAGCTGGAGTACCTTTAAGCAAGTCGAGGGATTTAGAGGTCTGGGAAAGACCAGAGGCTTTAGTGAGTGCAGACTAGATGGGCAAGGTGAGCCTGGAAGGTACTGAAGAGCCTTACTTCAGCGATATCTGTGAGTCTGGTGATGGTGGGGTCAAGATCAGCTTTTACGACGAAATCTTTGGATTTAAGTATAAGATCATCGCAGTTGTGGCTGTTGGTTATAATAAATCTCACCTATTTCGAATATAAGTCAGTCATAGCAAGATCTATCTTCTCAAATTTTGATTTAAGAATGTCTAAGATATCCACTCTAGTCTTGAAGGTGGCTTCATCTATTTTCAACTTTGTCTCACCAAACTTTTCTGAAGTTCTTTCGTTTGCTTTTTGGCTATTAGGTCATCGCATTGGTTATACCTTAATTTGGCTTGGCTAATGATAGTTTTATTTCATTTTCTGGTTAATTATATCTATATGTCCACTCTTGTTCCTTACCTTGCTCCTTTTTAAACTTGTTTAGCCGTAGTTGGAAGGAATTGAGAGAGGTCACAAAGATTTCAAATGTTGTTACCAATCATTGAGGGATATTCTTCATTTCTCTAAAGTTTAGACTGCAGATAGGGTCTTGGCTAAAGTCTTCGAAAACGTTTATGTTTTCGTACTCAGATTCTTTATAGCTTGGAGTGCTGTCATGAGCAGGGTCTTCGAACAAGGAAAAGCTCATTTCTTTATCAGTCATTTGGGTTTAAATAATAATTATATTTTGGGAAACTGAAGAGGGTTTTGGGGTTTTGGGGTTTTGGGGTTTTGGGGTTTTGGGG